AGTCCCACCAGCAGTGTATGAGAGTCCCAATCTCTCCACATCCTCTCCAGCATTTGTTATTTTCTGTCTTGTTGAATTTTGCCATTAGTCCTGGGGTGTGATGGTATCTCATTGTTGTTTTCATTTGCATCTCTCTGATGGCTAATGATCGTGAACATTTTTTCATATATTTGTTGGCTGCCTGAATATCCCCTTTAGTTAAGTGTCTATTCATGTCTCTGCCCATTTTTTAATTTATAATTAAATTAATTGCATTTTTTAATTTATAATTAAATTAATTAATTGCTTATCTTTTTGTTGTTGAGGTGTTGGAGTTTTCTATAAATTCTAGAGATAAGTCCCATGTCAGATATATCATTGCTGAACTATTTTTCCCCACTCTGTAGGTTCTTTTTTATACTTTTGGAGAAGTCTTTTGAAGCACATAAAAATTTAATTTTTAGAAGGTTCCATTCATCTAGTTTATCTTTTGTTGTTTGTGCATTTTGGGTTATGCTTGATAGTCTATTTATGCTATAAATTAGGGCCCCTACATTTGCCCCTGTTTTTTCCTTGAGGAACTTTATAGTTTTAGGTTTCACATTTAAGTCTTTGATCCATCTGGAATTAGTTTGTGTGTATGGTGTGAGGTACAGACCTTGTTTCATTTTTCTGCAAATGGATATCCAGTTTTGCCAATAACATTTGTTAAAGACACCATCTCTTCCCCATTTAATGGATTTCAGCCCTTTGTCAAAAATCAGCTGAGAAAAGGTTGATGGACTTATTTCTGGGTTCTCAATTCTGTTCCACTGGTCTGTGTTGTGGTAGTTATATTTGTGTGTCACCTTGGCTGGGCCTGGTTGAGTGGCTGGGCAGCTGGTGGTAGTTATTCCCCATGATGAGACTGGCAATCAACTCCATGGTAAATGGTGGGATCTACCACAAGCAGCTGAGTAGCTGCCTTTGGAATATAGTCTGCTTCCTGGATATAAGAAGAAGCTTTGGGAATGGTCTTTAGCCTATGACATGCTTAGACCCTGCATGTAGCTGTGTCATTGCTCAGCAGCGTGCTATGCTCTGCTGATCTTGGAACTTACAATGGACTTAAGTTAATGGCCTGCTGTGTGGTTTGGTAACATCGGAACTGTGCGTTTTTACTTGTCAACCTTGGGGCTTCTCAGCCTCAGCAGCTAGCAGCTGTCTGAGTGAAGAAACGCCTCTAGCTCCAGTGGGCTGGGAGCAGGAGGCAGAGCTGGACCCCAAGGTTGAGGGGCTTTCACCCAGCCCCTAGAGCCTGGCACTTTGAACTTGGACTTAAAGCCTCTAAATTGTAAGAATAAACTCCTGTTTGTTAAGGCCATTCCATTTGTGGTATATTCTTGTCAGAGCGGCACTAAGTAACCAGAATATATATATCTGTCATTGTACCAGTATCAGGCTGTTTTGACTATAACAAAAACATGTGGCTGTATAGTAGGTCTTGAGATCTGGGATTATGAGACCTCCTACTTTGTTCTTCATCTTCAATAGTCCTTTGCTTATTTGAGGTCTTTTTCTTTTCCATATAAAAGTAGTGATTGGTTTTTCCATATCCTTAAAGAATGCTGATGGCATCTGGATTGGGATTGTATTAAATGTATAGATTGCTTTGGGTAGTATTGATATTTTCACAATATTGAATCTTCCTATCCACAAGCATAGTATGCTCTTCCATTTATGTAGATCTCTTATGGTTTCTTGGAATAGTGATTTGTAGTTTTCTTTGTACAGATTTTTATGTCCCTACTGAGATTTATTCCCAATTATTTTATTTTTTTGGTAGCTATTGTGTATAGTATTGATTTCCTTATTTCTTTTTCAGCAGTGTTGTTGCTGGTGTAGAGGAATCCAACTGATTTTTGGATATTGATCCTGTATCCCACCACTATGCTAAATCTCTCAATTAGTTCCAGTAGTTTTTTTGCTGAATCTCTTGGGTTTTCTATGTATAGGATCATATATCAGCAAATAGGAATAATTTTAGTTCTTCCTTTCTAATTTGGATGCCTTTGATTTTCCCTTTCTTGCCTTATTGCCCTGGCTGGGAGCTCTGGTAGTGTAGTACCTAAGGCACTTGACTGCTAATCAGGAGGCTGATGGTTTAGATCCTCCAAGCCACTCCCCAGAAGGAAGTTTGGGCAATCTATTACCATAGTAATACCTCCTCAGAAACCCAATGAGGGATCTCTGGGAGGTGGGTCCAACTCAACGGCATATAACAACAATAGCAACAACAGGACTTCCGATACAATGCTGAATAGAAGTGGTGATAGAGGAGAGCATCCTTGTCTGGTTCCTGTGAGCAAGGGGAATGGTCTCAGTCTCTCTCCATTGAGAGTAATATTGGCTGTTGGTTTTGCATATATGCACTTTTATTATGTTGAGGAATTTTCCTTCTAGTCAGGTTTTGCTGAGAGTTTTGATCAGGAATGAGTGTTGGATTTTATCAAATGCCTTTTCTGTATTGATTGATATGATCATGTGGTTCTTTTTCTTTGTTTAGTGATAGATGATATTGATTGTTTTTCTAATGTTGAACCATCTTTGCTTACATGGTATGAACCCACTTGGTCATAATGAATTATTTTTTTGATATATTGGTGGAGTTTATAGGCTAGTATTTTGTTGAAGATTTTTTTTGCATCTATATTCAACAGGGAGATTGATCTGTAGTTTTCCTTTTTAGTGATATCTTTGTCTGGTTTTGGGAGCTCTGGAAGCGTAGTGCCTAAAGCATTTGACTGCTAACCAGAAGGCTGGTGGTTCAAACCCAACAGCCACTCCTTGGAAGGAAGGTTGGGCAATCTATTTCAGTAGTGATACCGCCTTGGAAACCCAAGGAGGGGTTGAATGAGTTGGATCCAACTTGATAGCAGTGAGTTTTTGTTTGTTTGTTTGTTTGTTTGCCTGGTTTGGGTATCAAGGTTATGCTTGCTTCATAAAATGAATTTGGGAGGATTCCATCCTTTTCTATGTTCTGGAATAATTCAAGCAGGATTGATTTCAGTTCTTTTCTGAACGTTCAGTAGAATTCTCCAGTGAAACCGTCTGGGTCAGGGCTTTTTTTGTTGGTAATTTTTTTATGATCAGTTCAATTTCTTTTTTTTGTTATGCGTCTGTTTAAATTTTCCACATCAGCCTCTGTTAGTTTAGGTAAGTAGTGTGTTTATAGAAATGTGTCCATTTCTTCTAGATTTTCAAGTTTGTGGGAGTATAGTTCTTCCTAGTATCTTGATATTATCCTTTTAATTTCTGTTGGTTCTGTTGTGGTGTTACCCAATTCATTTCTTATTCCTGTTGTTTGTTACATTTGTCAGTGGTTTTTTAATTTTATTAATCTTTTCAAAGAACCAATTTCTAGTCTTTTTGTTTCTGTAGTTTTTCTATTTTCTGTTTCATTTATTTTTGCTTGAATCTCTATTATTCCTTTTCTTTTGGTGATTGTAAGCTTTCTTGGTGCTCTTTTTCTAATTGTTGGACACGTTGAGTTAAGGTGTTGATTTTGGCTCTTTCTTCATTTTTGTTTTGTGCATCTATTGCTATAAATTACCTTCTGATCACTGCTTTTACTGTGTCCCAAAGATTTTGGTAGGGTGTGTCTTCATTCTCGTTTGATTCAAGGAATTTTTTAATTTCGTTTTTTTAAATTCTTCTATTACCCAGTCATTTTCAAAGAGATTGTTATTCAGTTTCCATGTGTTTGCTTTTCTTCCATTGATCTTCTTATTGTTGATTTCTAATTTGATAGCATTGTGATCTGAGAAGATTCCTTGTAGTATTTCAATGTTTTTAAATTTATTAAGGCTTGCTTTGTGACCTAACATATGGTCTTTCCTGGAGAATGCTCCATGTGCACTGGAAAAGAATGTATATTGTGCTGTTGTTGGGTGAAGTGCTCTGTAGATGTTGGTCAAGTTGGTGAGTTGTATTGTTTAGTTCTTCTGTGTCTTTGTTGAGTTTCTTTCCAGTTGTTCTATGTGTGACTGAAAGTGGTGTATTAAAGTCTCCTACTATGACTGTGGAGTCATCTATTTGTCTTTTCAGTTCTCTTAGAATCTGGTTTATGTATTTGGGGGCTCTTTCATTGAGTGCATAGATATTTATTATTGTTATGTCCTCTTATTCAATCAATCCTTTAATCATCATATAATGTCATTCCTTGTCTCTTATGGTGGTTTTTGTCTTAAAGTCAATTTGATCAGAAATTAACATTACCACTCCTGCTCTTTTATGGTTGCCTTTTGCTTGATGTATCTTTTTCCATCATTTGCTTTTTAGTC